CAACATTTCTTATGTTATAATATAATAAGTATTAATAGTAGTTTAATTAGATTATATTTTGCTCCATATGTTGCCGTGCCCTAGCCGGGTTTCATGTTGATACTGTACCTCATGTATCACCAATTGTACACATGATATGCAATACAAGAATTTGAATTTGAATCATCACCGGAAAGGTAGAAGAGGAAAGAGCACGAGATCGAGTCCACTAACACGATAGTCGACCAAGTGAAAAACCCAAACAATATCGCTCTCAAAATTGCGGAACACAGAAACTCATGGAAGGGCTATTACTCATGCTAAAGACCAGATTTGCTGAAGTCATGAAGCAATAAATTATATGAGAATATTTATTTCACTATGATGATGTCAGATAAGAGAAAGGCTCCCACTCAGACACGACCATCAGTAATAAAGAAACGTAGAATGAAAAATGTAAGTCGAACTCTATACGTTGAACCCCTTGAGAATTGTAGGATCGCTCCAAAAGCATCTAATTTGTCGGGGGGATATTAAAGAACTAAGTATGTTTAAATTAAACGAGACAAAGTCAAGTGCATTGTCAACAATGTCCCGCGGCAGTTAGCACAAGTACTTACCTACCTACAGGGGGAATGATCAATTAGACAGGTACAACAAATATTTATAAAACGTAACGTCGCCACTTTTCCAATTGACTGACTTAGAATTGGCTCATTAATCAATCAAATCGCGGAGTACGGACATCATGATGTCGACGTATGAAGTATGAATCCCCCTATGTACATACTGAACCCTAAACTAAAAGGCAATGTTCCTTTTACAACAAACGCTCTCATTTTAAAGGTAACTATATTAGCTTTTGTACGGCATACGTTACCAATTGATAAAATACTTGTACCTATCAGAAAATATAAAAGTATGGGCAACGGTCATTTATCAAGAAATGAAACAGAAGAAATGTTAGTGGCTTCGTTACTTTATTCCCAAGTGTATAATGTTACAATAAATCGTCATCAATAACGTGTAAGAGTTCATAACTAGTGGGAAAAATGCCATTATTCCATCAAAAATATCATCTTAAGTGTGGAAGAGCCATGCTTCGGCACGAATAGGCTGGCTCGACCGGAGTGATACCACGGCCTCACAGAAACCGACGTGAAACACTTGCATTGTGTATCGTCGAGTGTCGTCTGAGTGATGTTATTGGAGACCCAAATCACCCCAATTCCTAGATCCCCAACAATCCTCAAATCCCTAATCTTCGAAAGGCCGGTAAAGCATTTGAAACACCTCTAGCGTTTCGGGTGTTCATGGGCTGCGCTAATTGCTTACCATTAGGTGATTCATATACTTGTTTGTACCGGTTAATTATATATAAAAAAAATGCATGGCAGATGAAGTATACATCTTTAATATTATTATGAATTGCCCACACGTGTTGAATGTTAAACAAAGATTAGACAATAACATTCAGATTGGGGTCTCGGGTCAGTAAGCTGATGGCACGCCATGTCGAAGGTGTGCGAGATAATTTCGATAAGATTCTTCTCAAAAAAAGTAGGTATTAAATGATGTAATTAAAGCAAAATTACCGCATCTTTTATTAATTACACAATTAATTATGAAATTACCTAACATTAGATAAAATTTACTCTCATCATTCAATGAATTACGACATATTACATCATTTTTTATGTTGTAGGTATAGTATACTGAAATATCAAGTCATACCGTCTACGTATTTTATATGCATCTTTATCAGTAGATAGATCAAGTTGTCAAAAAGATATATCGGAAATCAATAGGATGCCGAGGTGATGATAAAACGATTGAATGACTAGAAGTGACCAAACGATTACACCATGATTATATGATTAAATGATACGGTAATGTAATTATGGCAATGATGCGTATTAAGATATGATAATATTGATGAATGAGACTATTTTGATGAGCTTAAAAGGTATGAAAGTTGATATAAAGAAGAAAGTAGGTACCTACTGGTTTTGATATAGACGACGATAAAGTTGCTATACGAACGTGTCCGGGAAAAATATTGCTGCCCCAATTAGCAACTTATTGCTTAAAATGCACAGTCATATCAGACATACAGAGCCAGTCAAATCGAATATAACTGCAACTGCCATCCTCTGCACTGTTTTGCAGTCATAATTATTAACAAAAATATTACTTGTTGGGATTGGGATGATCCTTTAAGTACTTAGGTACCTATATTACAATAGTCTAAAGCCTGAATCGAAGAACGAGTCTAAGGTACTACCGTCAGCAGGTAGTGGACGGCAGATGTCTGTGATCCTATTTTCCTAGTGACATTTGAGACCTAGTGCCTACTCGTAGGGCTCGCTGCCATTGCAGCGGTACGTCCCCTCTTTGAGGAGTTTTGAGGACAGTCACCTACCGCCTGACGCAGATCCTCACCAGACATGGGAACTTCGGGAGGTACCTGCGTCTAATAGAGCGGGAGGAAACGCCCGGGTGTCATCACTGCGAGGAATGACCTGAGGACACAATGGAACACACAGTCGGAGAATGCCCTGCCCTGCCACAGTAGGCTGAGCACCGCCGTGCCCTCAGGGATGTGATCGGCGACGGCGACCTCTCGCGTCCGGCCCTAGTCCGAGTCATGATGCGAAGCGAGGGGGAATGAGGGGGTGCCGTCTCCTCCTTTTGCGAAGCAGCCATGCTAGCTAAGGAGGAGGGGGATCCAAAAAATGAGGGGCGCCTATGAGATACTTGCCTAGTTTGTCTACTACGCAACGACCCTTACATCTTTTAACTTCCATCACACTCATGCGCCTAACTAGTCATTCAGGTACGCCGGTTAGCCACTCCACATTCTACCTGTTCCGAGAATCTCAGCAACGTAGATGTAGTACGTACTTCTAGAGTCCTAGGGAAGTCCATTCTGGTGTTACGATCATAAATGTAGCAGACCAGCCCCGCTGTATACGGCGGGACGTGACCACTATGCCAGTCTTCTTTGAGAACAGTCAGTGGGCGACTGGAGTCTCCATATATATATCCACCATAGGTTATTTTTTAGGTTCTTGTTGTGTGTCGTAGCAAAATAAATGGTTTTTCTTTCTTTTCTTTCTTTCTTTCTTTCTATATATAAAGCGCTCGTGACACTAACCACGAAGGTCCGCATGCTCAAGGTGTTACAGGTGAAATATCGGTGATTTAGGCACCGCAGTTAGGCTATTCTGTAACTATCAATTCGAGAGATCTAAGTAAACTCGATCGCGGTCCGCACTGTCATTGGTTGCGAGAATAATCCCGACCAATGACGGACAAGAATGCGATCGAGCTCACTTCGAGAGTTTGAATTGACATCTTATAGAACAGCCTAGTTGTTACTTCCTCAACTCCTCACCTACTCGACCTTGACTCAGTTTCTGAATTTAACTGGAATCAAACCATAGGACATTCTTTTTGACAGCTAGTGATTGGACGAACAAACCATAGCCTTCACCAGCGCCATCTTGTGACCAATAAAAACGGTAGTCCTCGTTATCTTAATGAAGAAGACAAACCCTGATTGTTAAATCACCGGATAATTTCAGATATAGCAAGTTAAGTCAGGTTTTAAGGTTATCCAAGTAGGTAGGTAGTTACACAAAAAATCGATAAATAAAGATAGATAACCTTCTTAAAACTACTTACCCTATTAGTGTTACATTGTAAGTAGGTATACAATATTTGCCTTACCTATCTCTGCCCCTTTGAAAACTGAAAAGCATGATGTTGGGTTAGTATATATAGGTACTTAGCTACCTACAAAATATTCTCGAGCACAAACAAATTTTATTGTTAAGCGAGTATAAACCTTATTAGGAGACATAGAAGCTCTCTTGATTTGGGTCTATGCAAATATCAATGTTTTAAAATAATCAACCTAAATAATAAAAAATAAAATAAAAATTAGTCATTAATATTATGGAATCAAAATGAAATATCAATTGATAAATATACTTATACATTTATTTTATATATCACATAATCAAGTGTACCTAGGATGAATTTTATTACCATCTTAGATATCCTACTAGAATCAATTAATCACCTTCATTAAAATAACATTCGCTTTGGAGTCGATAATTAATATATATATATCATCATAAAGTCAATAATATGAAATTATTATATTAATAAATTCATAATTCATCATTCTTATTAATAAATTCATAATAGTAGACATTTTATTTACAACTAAATGTTGAAAAAAAAAATTAAAATTTAACATAATTTAAAAGAAACATATTTTACAAATAAAATCCTGCAATTTTATATATACACAAGTCTTTTTCTATGTGACATCTGTACATAAGTTTGAAAAAGGATAGATTTTTAATACTATTTAATGTATTAGGACCACCAATTCACCTGTTCAGATAGATAAATATGAGAATCAATACAAACCTACAGCAAGATTGTAGAATTACTGATGATAGTCAAATAAATAGAATTTTAACATCATGATCATTTTGGCACATAAAGTTGTGATGTTATTACAGGACTTTATAGTAACTAATAGTGTGACTCTCATATTATTGACAAATTGACCATTTGGTTTTCTATTCTACATATAGACAAGCGCTAAACGGCATTTGGCTACAGCTGCTAATCTTAATCACAGATAAAACATGTAAGGATTGTAGTAAGTACCGATCTGTGCTCTGAGGGATTAATGCAAGTTTGTTCTACATACGTAACTCTGATTGGTTGATTCATCGGAGCCGGCCAATCAGAGCGCCGAACGCGGTTCTCGTTTTGATTACCTACTTTAACCGTAAAACAAACTTGTACTACGCCCTCAGTAGTACCGCTTTTCTCCGTGAGAAGGCATTAGTTAATATATGATGAATATCACATATTGATTACATTAAAGCCAATGAGTAATTAAGTTCACCTGTACACATCTGAGTTTTAAATTCTACAATTTGTTGTAAGTTCATATGTAGCGCTAAAGTTATTCAATAATTACCAATACAGATCCACCTAAAGTGAACAGTTAAAAATGGTAGTCTCATATTTAAAGATGAAACAAAAAGTACATCTATCTCTTTCCTGATCCTTAGTCCCGTCGATATGATAATATGTTTATGATTTGTTTCTTTGTTTTGTTTTTTCGTTTTTCAGCTTTTGCCTCCTTTACGGCTTTTTTTCGTAACTTCTTACTGTTTGGTGATTCGTTTCGGGGCCGAGCGCAGGTCTTGAATTGTTTTTTCGCTTCTGTAAGTAAAAATTATTGGAGTTTTAATTGTTTGTTGTATATTAAGCTATTTATAGCTATAAGCGTTGGAAAGCCATGCTTCAGCACAAATGGGCCGGCTTGACCGGAGTGATATCGCGGCCTCACGTGGAATAACGATTGCGTTGTATTTCCCGGAGACCCAATTATCCCCACCCCCTCCCTTCCCCAATCATCCCTGAATTCTCAAAAGGCCAGTAACGCACTTGTAACGCCTCTGCTGTTCCGGATGTCCATGGGCGAGGCCGATTGCTTTCCATCAGGTAATCCATCTGCTCGTTTACCGGCTTGTTCCATAAAAAAAAGAATATAATTTTAACCCTACAGTGGGTGCGTTTTTGTGAAACGTCAGTGGGTGGTGAGCATTTTGCTGCCTGGTGAAACCTGGTGATATCTTTTCAAATGGTCCCTAACCCGCTGTAAGTACAGTTGGCGCTGTAAGCGTCAACTCTTTCGGCACGCATTGCTAACGAGACAGGAGGCATTTAGAAAAAATGCTAGACTATCAGACTACTTTAAAACACCACACTACGATAAATAGGAACCGAGGTTGAGTTGGGCGGTGCTGGTGTACGTGGCATGTTCGTGAACGGGCGCCATCAACTGGGACTGGTTAGCTCCAGACTGTATTATTGTCCTTAAGTTTATTTTCTTTTTTGATCACTTTGACTGGATTTTAATGTTACATTATTCTCGCACAATCCAAACAGCAAAACTGTGTAACTAATAAATTGTATTTTGAACCTGATTGAAAAAGAGTAACCTATGGAGTTTCTTGCTCGTTCTTCTCCATAGGAATCTACACCTTGGAATGAGCAAATAGCTTCACTTTTAATTTTTGTTTTTGTTGACGTTCAAAAGTGCCATTCTGGCCTAATTGAAATAAATGATTTTGACTTTGACTTTGACCGAGCAACAGAAGAAACCGCATGAAATTATATTGTATTGCATAAATACTACTACATAATTAAAATTATTAAGTTTAAAAATTAACTACCTTCTCCTTCCTCTGATTCACTTTCTGAGTTGGATTCTTCATCCTCATTGACATCATCCTCCTGCAGTATTGCAGCTTCATCTTGCAATATGTCTGGTTTGTCCACTGCTGACAAATCCTCTTTGAAGCCAGCTATCTTCTTGGATGCTAAATCTTCTGTATCACCCTCCTTTGCATTGTTGATACCTCGTTCATAGTTTATTACCTGGAATCAGAATAGGACAAACTATATACTGTTGTTTTGTAACGTTTTGTTACTGGTCAATGAATGAATCAGTTACTGAGGTTTCTGTGGTGCCTAGACATCTAGGCAGGCCTATTGATTTTTTCAATATCATTGTTTTTCAATATCTTTGATAATGATTTAAATCATTCAAACCTTCTATAGAAGTTTTATTTCTATAAAAATAAAACAATTCTAATGATTACATCAATAAGCATCTTTTAAAATATACATTCACAATGACAAAAGTATCAATGAATTTATAAACATGTGGGTCACCAACATTATCGAAGGATTTGCCAAGAACAATTTTCTATGGGCAGTCAGATTAAACAGTTACCATGTAGGAACTCACCTCTGGTAGTCTTTTAGAAATGTACATATTCTTGAAAGCCTCATCCTCAATCTGTTCCTGAGCGATCATATTGTTAACGTCCCTTTGATCTGCCATTTTTCTGTCAATTGAGTAAGACGTGCTCCCTGCTCAACTTACCCTCATTTATAGTAGAATCAGTGATAAAATTAAACAACTGTTTACTGTTAATGTTGCAAGCCCATTTGAATCAAAACTACCGACTAGTGTTACATTGTAAGTATAAAATTAATGTGTTACCTATTTCTGCATACTCCTTCGAAGACTGACCTCGAGCACATATAGGTACCAACTTACATTTTTTTTTTTTGGTAATCGTGTATAAACCTTATTCTTAGACAAACGCTCTCATGATTTGGTTCAATGCAAATATCAAATTAGAAAAGTAATACGATTTTATATTTAATTAACTAAGGCTTTTTTTTTTTAAGGGGGGAAAATCATCGAATGACCGCTCCCGCCTGGGTGAGGCGGAAGGGAGTGTCAGACTCTTACTGACTAAAAACCACCCCGTTCCTTCTCCTGCACGTCGAGCCGGAGCCCCGGTTACCCGTTAGGTTCTCCGCGACTCCGAATCGGCATCGGCCCTATTGGGCCCCATCTGTGGTGGTCTGATGGCTCTCTGAGGCGCGCGCGGAACGCGACGCGCCGTACGCTCGGGTCTGTTTCTGGTCGGACGGGGGGCCACCCATGCTCGCCGTCCGCAGGCCCGCGCTTACGGTGGCCGGAGATCGTCCCGCGATCCCCGACGCCCGGTGTGTCCTTCGCGATGGCTGGGTTGCGAGGAGGCAGCGCTTCGCTGCCTCACGCGTCCCGCCTCCTCCTTAGCTAGCATGACTGCTTCGCAAAAGGAGGAGACGGCATCCCAGTCCCCCTCGCTCCGCATCATGGCCTGCACTAGGCCCGGACGCGAGAGGTCGCCATCGCCGATCACTTCCCTGAGGGCACGGCGGTGCTCAGCCCACGCAGGGCATTCTCCCACTGTGTGTTCCACCGTGTCCTCAGGGCGGTCCTCGCAGTGATGACACCCGGGCGTTTCCTCCCGCCCCATCAGACACAGGTACCTCCCGAAACTTCCATGTCCGGTGAGGACCTGCGTCAGGCGGTAGGTGAGGACGCCGTAGCGTCTCTCAAGCCACTCCTCAAAGAGGGGTCCCGCGTCTGCCGCGGTTGCGGGCTCGCAGCATTTGTAGACAGATATTTATGTAAAAATTGAAATCACAATTTTATTAAGATTAAAATATATCTAAGTTAAATTATTTATTTTTATTTCCTATACTACTCCGGCTGTATTATCTTTGCATTAAATACATTGCTCTTTTACAACCACATCAGTCCATCACTGAATAACTGAACAAGAAGTAGACATAAGACATAAAATGAGTATGTTGTCGATGGCGCGTATGAGCATTTGTTCATAGTATCGTTTTTACAAAGAAGTCGGTTAAATATAGGTGCAATTTTAGTTTTATGGAGGGGCAATTGTGGCTTCAACTGTTTTGCATACATTTTGTACTTGACACCATATCGCCTTCATTTATTTATTTATATATTTCTCCTTTATAGAACACACATACAAAAATGGTACTTCATTTCTTATATCTATGATTGTAAAAGTGATATTACTTATTTGAAATGTAGCAGGATTTCATTTGTCAACTGTATGAGGAAACGATACTGATTATTATACTGTTATATGTAATTTTTATATCTAAATAATTATAGAATCAAAATAAAATATCAATCAATTGATAAATAAATAAATTTATTTTATTTATCACAATATTATGTGTTTCAGTGTAAATAAAACTTTGCTGAGTAAAAGGCACTACCTACAATGACTTTTATTTACAACTTACTAGAATCAATTAATCACATTCCTTAAGAGAAAAAACAACTTCGCTTTGGAGTCTATAACTAATAGTATAACATCATTAAGTCATAATAGTACACATTTCATTTCCAACGCGACGTTGAACAAAATTATTAAAACTAAAAGACAAAAAAGCTGCAATATTAATATACACAAGTCTTTTTCTATGTGACATCTGTACGGTAGCCAGAGAGACTACGTGTGTGGCGCTCTGATTGGCCGGCTCCAATGAATTGACCAATCAGAGCGGGGAACGTGGTCACATTTCGATTACTATAAATGTTAAACAAACTCGTACTAATGCCTCCGGTCAAGCTATTCTTTTCTTGTCAAACTCTATTATATGGTCAACCTAATTACTCTGACATAGTGTCGTAAATTCAATAAATAAATTTGATTGACTGAAGTAGGTTGGTCTACTAGCCACTATATAAGTTTTACAAAGGATACTTTTTAATTTAATACAATTTTATGTATATAACCACTAATTCACCTGTCCAGATAGATAAATATGAGAATCAATACAAACCTACAGCAAGATTGTAGAATTACTGACAATTTACACATAAATAGAATTTATACATCATGATAAATTTGGCAAGTCAAAGTTGTGATGTTATTACATGACTTTATCTATTATATAAAAATAAGTCAGGTTTTCCTTTCTGATGCTATAACTCTAGAACGCACGAACCGATTTCCACGGTTTTGCATTCGTTGGAAAGGTCTCGGGCTGCGTGAGGTTTATAGCAAATAATGTTACATAAAACGAAGCTATCTGGTGGCGAAACGGAGTTCGCTGGGTTTGCTAGTACTTTATAGTAACTAATAGTGTGACTTTCATATTATTCACAAATTGATAACACTGATCACAAACACAGGTAAAATAGGTAACGATTGTAGTGACCAGCAGGCCAACCGAACAGTTCCTGTCATAATTAAGGACCACTATTACTATAATTCTCATAAAAATAGTGACATAAGAATTACTGAAGTCAGTTGTCTCCTTTGACATAACTTTGATTAAAACTTTACCCATGGTATTAAATGTACAGAGGTGTTGCCTTGTGTATATTTTTTTCATTTCATAGACGATATTTTGTCTTCTGTAGACCACCACTTGGGAACATCTGCATTAAAGAGATCCACATAAAACTGAACAGTTAAAATACTGGTCTCACATTGAAAAATGAAACAAAAAGTACATCTATCTCTTTCCTGATCCTTTGTCCCGTCGTTTCTTAATATGTTTCTTTGTTTTAGTTTTTCGTTTTTCAGCTTTTTCCTCCTTGACGGCTTTCTTCCTTAACTTCTTACTGTTTGGTGATTCGTCTCGGGGGCGAGCGGAGTTCTTATGTTGTTTTTTCCCTTCTGTAAGTTAAAATAATTGGAATATTAATTGTTTGTTGTATGATTAACCTATAATAATAATGATAATTAGTTTAAATACAGATGTAATTTACAGTTATTTGTCATTATTACAGAAAGGCCCAGAATCCATACATAGGTTCAAACGGTTCCCTCGAATGAATAATCAACACAGTGAATGTTTAATTTATCTTTCATTCCATGTTCAGATGGCTTTAGTGGATTGACGAAATATGGCAAATATAATATGTCATCGAGTGATGTCGTGCAACTCAAATCAGTTTAATTTGTGATCATCGAATGAAATCCGAGTACATGTTCACTTTGTGTGCAGACAGTTCATTTTTTGATCATTCCGAGCGGCAGTGAATGATCCAGGATATCAAAATCCAACATAATTAGATCGCTTCAATATTGAATTCATTCTGCACTATTGATTCATTCTGAGTTCAGTCAGTCAAATTATTCAACACCAAAATTAACAAAAACCTAAAATCGTGACAAAAGTTCCGGTTTCTTTCTAGCTTCTGTTAATAACCAAAGCTTAATAACAAAAATTATTTTATTTTATGCTCTTCCTTACATCTTAAAATATTTATTGTTGAAAACAATAAAAGTTTTAATTTTGTTTGGTTTTGTGTTAAATTTAAGAAAAAAATCACGAAACGAAATCAATTGTTTTCTGTATTAATAACAATTATATTAAATGTAATATATAAATATCCCGAAACTGGAACCGGAACTTTCCCGAAAAAAATGTTGTAGTAAGGAAGTCTCCACTTTTTGTTTTTGTTCCTTGAAGTTTAAGTAAATTAGCTCTCCTTTTTCCGATCACTGCTGATAACACATTAAATAAATCTATTAATGTATGAATCTTGCCACTAAACATAATTGATTAGTTTCATAAGGGTTAGTAAGGAGCATGTAATGCCCCAAGTGTTTTATTGCGTGCCATGTGCCTGTTTTTAACGCCATCTGGGGGCTTACTCTTGAATCCAATTCCGATCGATCGACATTGGTATTGTGAAATTTCGTACTCTTGAGTTGCAATACTAGAGCCCATTGCATCCGTATTGCGTAGATATTGAATGAACTAAATGGTATTGAGTTTGTCTTTATATTCCGTACTCTGAATGCTATTGTAACAGCTAAGATTGTGGTTGTATAGTGTTGACATTTAATAATTATTGAGATCATATTGGATTGAAATTGCATTGACATTGAGATTGGTTTCAAGAGTAAGCGCCCAGGTGGGCCGTGTGCTATTTTGCCACCATAATGGTAAATTGAAATGAAATATTTTTCACATATAACCAACCTACTTTCTTAAATAGACACTAATGTATACTAATACTTTAAAACTGACTTGAAGACTCGAATATACTAATCTCCAGAACTACTGGTTCAAATTGAATAATTATTTTTGTAAACATAACGTAACATCACGCCTTTTATCCCCGAAGGGGTAGGCAGAGAGCACACAGAAGTAACACCCACTTTTACCATTTGGAACATTTCCAGACTCCGTGCTACTACAAAGATTTTTTTTAAAAACCTAGTATTACTTTGCCCGACCCGGGAATCGAACCCTAAGACCCCTTGCCTGGTAGTCGCACTTGCGACCACTCGACCAACGAGGCAATCTATTTATTATTATTTTTGTAAATTATTGTTTTTCGGTTTCCTCAACAAATAATTCCTCAAGATATCGCCGCGTGTGATTGCCGCCCATTGTACTCAAATTACTACTTATTGCAATGTTTAGAATTTTTTTCTGTGTGTGCAATAAAGTATAAATAAATAAATAATTACGTGAGTAAGCCGAAAAATAAAACAATTGATTTAGTAAGTATGTGTCACAAAAGTTAAAATATTTTTTTGCGTTTGGATAGTCTATTTATAAAGGACGGCTGAAGAAACAAGAAACCGACTTCAAAAACACCAAAAATTAATAATAAAATAAGTCAAAACTAAAAAATAAAAAAATAACCATTGTTAGTACTGATAAGTTACCCACCCACTGATAGGTTAGAAGTCGGCGCCATGGAAATCTCGGGCTTATACCCTTTCAAACAAAACAAGGATTTTTGGAATCCGGTTCACAAATCGCGGATTAAACGGCGAACAAAAAAAAAAGAGGCGAACATAGTACCTGCTCTTTTTTTAAGAAGTCGGTAAAAATACCACGCTACGTTCAATACGAGCCGAGCGGCGCGTGAAACCGCGTGGACTTAGCTGCTTATATTGCATAAATATAATACCACTTACATAATTAAAATTATTAAGTTTCAAAATTAACTACCTTCTCCTTCCTCTGATTCACTTTCTGAGTTGGATTCTTCATCCTCATTGACATCATCCTCTTGCAGTATTGCAGCTTCATCTTGCAATATGTCAGGTTTGTCCGCTGCTGACAAATCCTCTTTGAAGCCAGCTATCTTCTTGTATGCTAAATCTTCTGTATCACCTTTCTTTGCATTGTTGATATCTCGTTCATAGTTTATTACCTGGAATCAGAATAGGAAAATATGAAACTTGTTTTGTAGCAGTTTGTTGCTAAAGTAAATCAATGTTTGAGGTTTCTGTGGTACCCAGACATGATTAAAAATTCTATTGAGGATCAATACATTATCATAGAAATAAACTTAAAGTTTTGTTTGAAGAAAACTAACACAATGGTCACTATAGTGTCTTCCCCTGAAACTGTCTCTTAAAGTCTCTTTTGAAATAAAAATCAACGATAATTGAAAATCAGTGACAAAATATTGATGAATATAGTGACATGAGGATCACTAACATTATCGGAGGATAACCATTGAACAATTACACAGGAATAAAAAATAATTATACAGCTATAGGCAATCAAAGATTAAAAAGTTACCAGGTAGGAACTCACCTCTGTCAGTCTTTTAGGAATGTAGATATTCTTGAAAGCCTCTTCCTCAATCTGTTCTTGAGCAGTCATATTGTTAAGGTCCCTTTGAGCTGCCATTTCTGTTAATTTATTAAGACATGCCTCCAAATTATCCTCGTTTATAGTAGAATCAGTGATGAAATCAAATAACTCTTTCACTGTTAATGTTGCAAGCCCTTTTTTCCTAAAGAACGTTGATATATTTACGCAATCTTTTCGCAAAAACAAGAATGCACGCGGATGGCCATGTTCCACGGACTGGGACACATCGATAATGACTACTTTACCTTTGTGTACCAATAAGTTGAATTCTGACAGATCCGCATGCACTAATTTACAGATATTAAACATTTTCCACATCATTCTTATAATGTCTTTGTACATAGTCTTAGCTTCAAGCTCAGTTAATTCAACATCTTTTAGTTTTGGTGAAGGCCATCCTTCTTCTCCCATAAATGACATTATTAGCACATGGCCTCGTAAAAGTATTGGCTCTGGAACATTTAAGTTTGCCTTGTGCATCCTCTCAAGATTTCTCTTTTCCTTTTCAGCCCATAAGCGGACCATCTTTCGGTTATTAGAACGACAATAACCGTTTCTGAATCTGAATTCACCTGTTACATATTGATCTCTGTCTTTGAACACTAGGATGGAGGTTTTGAAGATCTTAATAGCATAGTCCTTTCCATCCATAGAGGTTGCATGGTAAACATTGGCTTCTTTGCCTGTGGATATGCAACCATTGATTTCATCGATGACGCCTTTGTTAAGGAGTTTAAATAAGATCAACCTGGTGTTACTGTCCATAACTTGCTCGGCTGTAGCTCTGTCTCTTTTATCCTTGATTCTTATTCTATCATTGTTGAGTTTTCTATCACTCCTATCCATGAACTGCTCTGTCTTTCTTGATATAGGTTCATATTGATCTACATTTATTTTATTGACGAATTTTTTAAACAATTTTTCTTTAGGCTGGTACGTGGTGATTTTACTCGATGGCGCTTGAGAGTTGGCGTTGCTTTTCGTTTTATTATAACTCGGTTCATCTGAATCATGATAGTAATCGTCTGAATCGAGATCATCTTCCTCTTTACTGGATTCACTGCTAAGAGTATTTATTTGTGGAACATCTGAAAACTATAAAAAAATCACACATGTATAATGCCGACCAAAAAGGGTATACAATTATTTATCAACGACAAAATACTTACTCGTACTGACTTAACCTTAACACTTATATCTTCCTCGTAATCACTAGACTGTGCCTTCTGCATCTTTAAAACTTTAAAACAATAGTTTAAGATTAAATAACTATCTTCAAAACCAGTAACACCAACCACGTGGATTTTATTATTGAACAAGTGACAAGCAGTGGACTGGACAATGAATGACCATTGGCAGAATGACGCTGTCACGCTGATAACTGACAATAACAAAGACTGGGTTGCCGTCGCCGACTGAACAGTGTTGCCGAATAAGAACTTTATTTTTCATAAAATCTTACCACAGTAAAAAAATCGTATTTCTACCCTTATCAAAAGGTGGACGTAACATCAACATAACTTACAAATGAGTGAAACACTAAAATATTACCTAGTGGTGTATTTATTTATGCGTTTGCATGCAATAGGTTACGTTAACATTACCAGACATAAGATAATTTATGATATAAAAATAAAATTGCGGTTCTATTGACTTTTAATTTTATGCTGCTTTTACTGTGACTACCGTAGCACTAAATTCAAACATAAGAAACGTAGTTTTGTATTGTTTTATAATGATTTGCGCAAAAATTTTATACCCATTTTTCATTTCTTTAAAAAAATATTGTTAATAAAATTGTTATAAGTAATGAATTAATTTTGTTTGTTTTTATTTGTATTTAATCATTCTTTCATTAATTATTTGCAGCGGTAAATGTTACTCACTTACTATAATTTAAATTAAATGTATGTGCCTACTACAAAATATTTGCTAAATACAGGGTAAATAAAAATGTTTATTAACTTGCAACGCCGTAACCATAGAGCAACACGGGCCACCGGCGGACCGGAGGGGAGTAGCCATACGCAGGCGTTCCCCTCTGTCAAAGTATAAGTCCAAATGGTCCTATGCGTACAATAAAACTAGTTGCAACTCAACTGCTCACCAGACTAAATCTAGTTGCGTTAGTGAATCGACGGCGTCGTAAAAATGTCGAATTGTTCTGTTTTTTGCTGCAAAAAGAGATCTGCCACGTCAAATTTACAAAAACATGGTGTTACCTTTCATATTAAGTAATTTTTAATCACATTATTGCTATTTACTTCTTATAAACTTAAAAAAACTACAATATTATCAATCGTCTTGTTTCGGATTTGTTTACCAACAAATCCGTGCGTCCTCATACAAAACGCGGATCGGTCGAGCGACAGATCCGAGTTTTTTTCCTAGAATTCGCTGTCGCCGAGCGATAGCGTTGTTGCCGGTTTGTTTGTAGATAGTTATCGATAAAAATGTAAAAGGTGAAGTCAAATGTGAGATTTTTTGGGATTAAGTTTTCTGATTTAAATAAAAAATACTGAGTGAGAACTTCAACTATATTTATTATTATCATATATTTATTTAAAATTCTCTATAAATTATATTTCTAAATACTACTTATAAAATAAAAAAAAATAATATTTAAAAATATAAAAAATAGGACCCGACCAGTAGCGTATTATTTATTATTATTATTATTATTTTATTTATTTATTGCAGATTTCCTAAAGATCCAAATTTAAGAGATATATTATGTAAGACATATTGTTATAACAGACCAACCTGGGTTTCCCACAAGAAATATTGCCATTTGCTCAAATCGAGATGAATTAGCAAGATTAATAATGCAAAAATATACTGATACAATAATTTCTAACTTATTGAAAAAAACAAACCCCCAAAAATGTATTCGTCATATTTATAGAAAATTAATCTATTTTATTAACCAGTTATAGTTCCGTATCAGTATTTCATCACTGGTTTTTAAATGGGATTAGTAATTTAATTTATTTCAAAAAATGAAAATTTTATTTTTTATAATTATCTTGTCTGATTATTGTACTAGTAGGTAGTTAAGGGTATAATAATTAAAGTCAATAATAATATCTGTCTTTGAATAAATTTTTAAAGCTGATTTCCTTAACGGAGTTCTTGAATTTATCGATAATGCGTATCGATAATTGTTACAACTGCGTGTGTAAGTGTAGTTGCGTCATATTATTACACTATAACGACAGGGATTGTTTAAATGTGTGTGTGAAATTGTCAGTGTATTTTTCAATTGTCCTAGTGTGAGTTTCGTAGTGACATAGAATGTTTTTGTGTGAGAATTTGAGAATGTGTGATTTCCCCCCGCAAAAAATGACAGACAGTTTTGTATCGGTTTATAACGCAATGGCTACTCCCCTCCGTGTTGCTCTATGGCCGTAACGAACGAAGAGTAATGGGGCCTACCATATTTTAGTGACCAGACGGCGCTAGTATGAATCTCCCGTTCTTTATTCAATAGAGAACTATTTAGTGTGGACCACCATTGGACGTTCAATATTTGACAGCTGCTGTGATTGGACAAAAAACCCCTTGCCATTACGCCATCTGATTAACAAAAAACGTTATCCTCCATCAACAAAATACCATGTCACGCGACAGACGATCTCTGTGTCAATGTGTGTGTTATAATAGTGTTAAACGTGTAAGTCTGACGTCGCTAGGGTATCACAGTCATTCTTTCAAGAGACTACGTCTGCCTAATGCCTTTTCAACGTCTTTATCTACAGGTCTGGTGTAAATCTCGTGGTACTTCTTATATCGGTCCCCACAATACACCACTTATATTAAACTAGCGACCCGCCCCGGCTTCGCACGGGTGCAATATGTATGTATTATAGATATAAACCTTCCTGAATCACTCTATTTATTAAAAAAAACCGCATCAAAATCCGTTGCGTAGTTTTAAAGATCTTAGCATACATAGGGACACACAGACGGTGGATAGCGACTTTTTTTAGACTATGTAGTGATGATACTATGTAGTGACAATTAGAACGTATTCAAAGTATATTTGTCAACCACCACAATTATCGCCTCCGTAAAGCTCCGATGTCCTACGCAGACAGCTGTCGATCGTACGGACTGTTAACACTCGAGAAAAGACGAAAAGTAATGGATATGCGTTTACTATACGATATATTTATGGCCGCTTGGATTGCCTTGAGTTGGTCCAGCAGATAACGTTTAACGTTCCCAGAAGATGCACTCGTCACACGCCGATGATACAGGTACCTTGGCGCTCGACCAAATATGCCAAAAATTGTGTACTTACTCGCATTGCCCGAACACACAACTATAACTTTGCCGAAATATAATCTATTCAGTTGTGAATTCTAATTCTAAGAACGCATCATTAAATGTATTAATAAAAGCAATCTGGACACCGACTCCGTATCTTAAATCATTATTCCGAAATCAAGTCTTCTTAGCTGATTAAGTACATCATTGTTTGTTCTTGATCTTATTTTGTTACCTAAGTTACTTAAGTCCGTGCCTGCATGTTTACACAATCTAGGAAATAGGGGAAACCAATTATAAGCCTTTATCTCTGTAATTCACGCAAACAATAATTGTAAACTATAATTATGTAAAATTAAAAAAAATATCTTAATAGTATAAATTATAAAATGTGTAGTCGTAATTAATAATTACTATATAAGGTGATAAAAAAGGCCTACTTTATTTTCTTTAGCGTATTAACATTTGGTAATGATTTCAGAAAGTTTTTTATCTATAAAGGTAAGACAATATTCTTTAAGTCAGCTGGAAACTGAATTATTTCGTGCCACCATTACACGGAACCTCTCACTAACATAGTTAATTTTTGTTTCAACATATTTTGATTTTGTTTCGTAAGATGCCGTTCGTATATTTTGTGCACGAATTCAAATACTCATAGCAAATACTCGATCCTACATCTTATAAAAAAAGTTACTGTAGATACGATTGAAATCGTATGGTTGGCAACACTGCAAGTTACAAAACATCTCGGAACAATAACTAAAGCAAAAGTACGACAATAAATAAGTAACATTTATTTATAGTTTACCGGTATTTCCAGTATAATTTATTTTAAAACATATCAAAATCTTACGAATGAAAGTGAATTTTTTCACCACTGTTTTCTTTTCTTCCTAAATGTGAATTGCAGCCGTCAATCACACAAGACGTATTTTTATTAAGTAAAACACATAATAAAGAACGACCATACACTTTCTTTCTTCCTTTCTTTTGCGCTAATTCCTTAGAAAATATTTTTTATTATCAGGAGCCGTAAGAGCGTAAATACAACCACGGTGACACTTCAGTACTATAATCCGGGAAAGTGAGGAAGGTGTCAAACTTGAGTGAAACTGTGAAACATAGAACGTCAAACCGTGATTTTGAATTTGGTAGTATGCTGAATGAGTCCAATGACATAAGATTGTAATGAGTCCACTGAAAGTTGTGACAACCTGCAAATTATCAGAACTATGTTCAGTTTGCGGTCTCATTCTCGCCTACGCAAAATCGTGTAAAGAGCGAGAGCATCAGATATATGTTTGTAAATTGCTATTTTAGCCTGGCTTCCATGCTTTAGTTATTGTTCCGAGCAAAACATATAGACCATAGACCAAAGAGTATAATAAGTATATAGACTACTGACAGTGTCACTGACAGTCGTGACAGATCACATCACTGGTCAAATTTTTTTACTCTGTTACACGAATTTAATTAATGGCAATGCAAAGATTCTAACTAGCGCTTCTAGTGTCAAAATTGTGAAGCTGTCTAAGAACAGTACTGACAGTTTTCGTAGGTACATAATTTACGTCACAGAAAAAAATATTTATTAAATGCAAATTACATAGATTTATGTGGTTTCTTGTATATAAATATTTAAGTAAATTGTAAAATTAATCAAATGTTATACTAATTATTCAATTAATATCCTTAACTCATTTCAGTACACTTGAATTCACTCCTATATCCTTTATCCACTATCACTCCATCATTAAACTCACATTTATTTAAGATTCTTGATTCATTTACCTACTTACAAGATGTTTATCTGATGCTCGACCACCATAAGATGCACTTATTCAGTTATTAGGCCAGAAGGAGTTATTCCAATATTAAACTTCGCTGTATTGTTTTTTATATATTGAGAGTACGTCAATAATTTACATTTTTCAATCACAGTCTTAACACAGTCTAAGTAATATTATTATTGTATTTTTAAATTTTTACAATGATTTAGGTAAGTTACTAAGTACGTATAATTTCGGTATCAGGCCAAGGAATAACAGAGTGCTCTTCTCAGCATGGGGCACATACTTATTTATTAAAATAATTCGAACATGTCTGCCTATTAATATCAAACAAAACACCAATGGCTCTAAATGACATATTTTGTTGAATTATTACCATTGTCAAAATAATTCTGTCTCTCACAA